AGGTTCAAAACTAAGCACAGTATTGACTGATGGCAATAGTCCTGTACACCAGCTGAGCCCTGCAAGGCAATATAACAACCCTATTGGCCTTTACTCAGCAGAGACTCTAAGGGAAATGGCTGAGATGCATAAATTAAGTCTCAACCGAAGGGCTTCGGAAGGTGGACTTCCTAGAGGGTAGGTAACGTGGTAAAATATTTAATATTGCAATAAGTAATAAATTTGCTGAACAATGAATGTAATAGTACCTACCCTAATGTGCATTTGTCTGGTAATCATGAATAAGGTCTGGAACAATCATTACATTTTCCAGTACCCCCAAAAACATACACGCAGTACCATTACAGAATAACTCTTGGTCTTTGGTATCTGAATTGCAAGATGGATTGGCAATAGTCATCAGAGCATGAGGAGGAACACTACGACTGAAGTAACTGTGATCATTTCGGGGTTCTGGCATTTAGCAATTTAAACTAATGCATGTAGTCTCATAGAATCAAGTATCAATGTTGGCCGCTATAGGAAGCTGCTATAAAACAGGTCTGATCTTTGGTACCTTCCTAAAAGAGAAATTGCTTTGACCAGCAAATCTGACATGCTAGTCTACTGGAGTGTCCCGCCATAATTCCTGCCTTAATGTATTGGCTTTCCTACGCAAAATGAGTAAAAATTGCAATATTTTAAATTATCTGGTTTGAACATTGTCTGTTTCGCATCCATTAGCTTTGTCTTAACTTGTATGTAACAAGGAAAGATCTCTAAATATGTGGCAGTGCATTCCCCCCTCGCCTTTTTTCCTGGACCTCATTACGATTTCAGACTCATTCACGACAAGATACTACCCAGGTAGTTGGATCCCATGCTGTCAAGGTTTTCAGTGTTTTACTGTATTGCAGATCAAGTGTTCTATCAGTAGGTTTGTGAAGTGAGGAGCTTGGACTACAATACATGAGAAAAAGCAATGAGAAACAGGTTTTCCTGATTTTTCTGCCTTCATATATTAATTTGCGAACAAATCTCTGATTTGTTTATTTGTGTTTATTTAAAATTAAGATACATTTCTTATTATGAATATGGGAAAAACTGTACTTCAAACCACCAGGGACTTGGCTATATGAGGAAAAACAGAAAAATCGGAAAATCCACTCGAGATTTGATGGCAAATGGATATTTTCAAGTACTTTATATCCCATTGCAGAAGCTCTTTGCAAGAGTAAAACCAAGGGGCTTTAAGTTGTAGCAAGGTAAGGATATTTTGTCCTTATAAAAGAGCGTATGTGCATGTTCTAGATGATTCAAGCAGTTTAGATGATTCATTGTAACTCTCTTAAGCACTTGGCATTAACAGTCCTAATTAACTTATCTGAAAAAATCATATCCTTCCTTCCCATACCGGATAATTAAGAAAGGCAATTAGTGTTTAAAAGAATATAATTTCAGTTAGTAAGCAAGATCAACAAAATAAACCTCGGAATCCTTCTCTCTTAATTTACATTTTTCTTGAGGAAAACTAATCCTTGTCTTATTTCAATATGCAGAGTTATGCTGGGACTATATCTCCGTATCTTTCTCCCACTATCTTCACAACCCTCCTTAACATCTGCAAGGGTGAGGGTGAAGGGGCTGTGTTTTGAATGGCTCAGCGTTCTGACTGTTTCTTTGTTATCAAAATTATAACACAGCTGCATCCATCACTCATGGAAGTCAATGGGAACAATTCTGTTGATTCCAGAGGGCATCGCGATAGGACTACGTAATATCACAGTGATTGCTGGGGTGCAAAAAAGGTGCACCTGCAGAAAACACTTCACTGTCTTCACTCTTCTGCTTTTCCATGGTGTCCATCTCCTTTACATGTACGCCTTAGTGCACTCCTCTGGCAATGCATTGAATTACAAAGCAAGGTTCTACCTTAGAACAACCACCTGAGATTTAATTTTTTATTTTTTTTTTTTAGTTTGAATAAAATTTTAGGGAATTGCAGTCTATCTGCCTGCAATATCTGTAGCACTGATGAGCAAATATGAAAATTGATGAGAAATCATCTAAATGTTCAGTTCAAAAAAAAATCAGGCTTTATCCTGCAACCCAAGAACATTCTGAAAAGATGAAAGAGCTCAGAGCTACTAAGTACATGTGTCTTTTCAGGTCATTCCTCTGAGATTTAGAGAACTGTACATCTCTGTTTACATGCAGAGAAAATTCAGAGTTCAGTAATCCTGCCATCCCAACTCCCACTGGAGTGTTACCCATGAAGTGAGAGGCATCTTTCCTACTGCTCTGTGGAGAGTAACATGGAACCTGTAACTACCTTGGAACTTAGTATCATCCGAGACAGTCTCGATCTCATTGTGGATATATGTGAAAGAGTGCACAAGGAAAGCACTGTGAGCCCTGCAAAATCAGCTCTGGACTTTATTGTGAACATTCTTATCATATAGCACAATATGAGATGCTCTGTAAAGATTGTGAAATTACGGTGCTTCAAAACTGTGAATTTATTGTGCATTCATGAACATCCACTTAGCAGTATGGTAAAAGCTATAAGAAAATTCAGGTTTGGAGGTTGATCTTAAGGTCTATTTCATATTTCAGTTTGGTGTCCTTTTCATCAAATAATTTGAACTTGTGTGAGTTGCTGTTAGAGGTTTAGCTAAACCCTTTGGAAAATCCTATCGGAAAGCTAAAATTAATTATGAGATTATTTCCTTGATCTATGAAGGATAACAAAGCATCTGTTTCTCTGATACACTTTTGCATTAAACTTTTATCATGCTGGCCCAGGGTGAAAAACAGAGGTGGCCCATTAAGAGTGTGCAACTTGATGTGCTGAATGCTCTGGAAAGGGGAGCATTAATAAATAGGAGGAGTGAGTCATAGTTTGAAACATGTGGTTCTTTTTCATTCCAGTGTAAGTTACTTTTCATGTTGTAGGTCAAGGGCAGTAAATACCTGTCCTCCGAGTACGTGCCAGGTGGCTTGGGTTACTAGCTTCTTACTGTGTGACCTCTGTGAGCAGCAAGTTGGGTGTTTCATACATGTCCATATTTAGAATCAGGCTAAAATAATGTGTGGCTCTGAACTGGGGAGAATTTTCTCATCACATACTAAACATAAGGAGAAGTGAAGCTTTAGTCTTTTTGGAGGAAGCTATAGTAGCCTCTTCACATCTAAAAAATCTTTACTGAGACATGTGGTTGTTGAGCAGTTCTTAGTGTGTGCACATAATGATTTTTATCTTTGAACATATTTTTATATGCAAACAAGTGGTTGCTCTAATTAAGATGTATTTTAGGGATGGTAGTTCTACCTTTAAAATATTATTTTATGTGTAAGGCAGAGGCCTGGATTAGAAGATTAAAGCAAGCATCAGAGTCCACTTCAGAAAATGATACTATTGCACTGTTTCGTTGTGAATGAGTGCCCAGCTGTCCTGCACATACCTAAAATGGATATAGGATCATGGATATGCTTACAGGCTACAGCTTGTTCCTAATATATCTCTACCGGTTCCTGTAACAGACTGATATATTTGGCTTAATGTAGGGTTTATAAAGCTAGAAGAATATTCTCGAGTCAGGGAGTCTGAAGAACAGTAACTGCAGAAGGTGATCTGTGATTGCTTTTCCATGGAAATGCAGACGTGCAAAGCCTTTACTGCAGCTTTGGCTCATTAGAGTGGTTTTGATCATTGAAAAGGCAGCTGGATGAGCCAATGCAAAAGGACTGTACGTAAAAAGAAGCAGTAATACCAAAGGTTCTGCAAGGCAAAAGCAGGAGGAGACAAATCCACTTTGGATGTAACTCTAACAGTATTACATTGCTGTCCGGTATTTTCTATCAATCCCAGACCCAGAAATGTGACAGCAGCAAGTTGGAAGGTTCAGTGCCCAGTTCTGTCAACAGCATTCTGTGCAGCTAAATAAGAAGAAATATTTATTAACTGATCCTGGACTCTCTTCCTCTTTATTTTGCGCAAAATATGATTAATTACTTTCACCCAAAAGTATATTCTAAGTTTTGAAAAAAACAAGTTAAAATAAATGTCATAGCCCATTAATGCTACTCATGCAACCAACAGAAAGTCTTAACAGCAAATAATATATTACAGTCTGAGCACACTATCTGTTCATGGCTCCCAGCTTTGGCCCACATAAGGCCTACGATGAGTTTTGTATTGTAGTTCTTTGGAATTACTGTGCAAGCCGCTGTCACTTCTTGTTTATGCAGCGAAGCAGGATGTAGCATGAACATATGTTTTTTCATACTTAGTACATACCAGATGGAATAAAATATCCTGATGTGGATATTGAAAAAAACACATAATGCACAGACTTGCTTCATTTCACATGGAATAAATTAGGAATGACTATTCTGAAATTAATTGGCTTACACCACTGTTGGCATAATGTAGGTACAGTCAGATTTAGGCCAATAGTTTGCTAAATACAAAGGCATTTTCCTTAGTTTTAGATTTTAAACATTTACCAATATATTCCTTGGATATTCTGCAGCACATAAAAGACAAAAAAATCAATCTTGCAATACCAACTCTGAGGGCAGCCTGAGAAGAACAGACTTCATCCCTGAATATTTAGTATCTGAGGGAAGAATATAATCTCTACCACTCATTTGCTATTTTCAGATGAGAATATACTCTGCAAATGCTTCTTTCTTCCCTCCGCTCCCTCCCCCCATACACTTTGATAATTTAGCACATTTAGGGATGCACTGCAATAAAATCATGTTCAAGGGTCAGCCAAAATGCCATGGTACCCTACTAAGTCCTAGTGGATCAACTATAATCCCTACGTTTTTTCCTTTCTTAATCATGTTTGGGTTTTCAGGCATACATTTACTTATTGTTCTTATTTGTAGCTGGTCTGAAAAAAGCTTTAGTAAGTTTTTGTAAATACCTTTTGCCCTTTGCACTCTAAAAACTATTGACTTTTTCTCTGTGGTTGGTTTTGATGTTGTTTGTTCTCTTTCTCTTCTTTTAGGTCATAACCAACACCACTGCCAAGTTAGTATCACTTCTATATAGTGCCAAGTATTTCTGTTGTGCTGTATGTGTGAAGATTTGTTTTCTGGAGTAGCATGATCCCTTGTGTTCCTGCTGTGTCTGCTTGAGAGTGGAAGTATTTTAAAAAAAAAAAAAAAAATTGGTATGGCAAGCATCATGCACTGCCACTGATGTCCAGTGGTGCTCCCTTCTAAGCATGCCACGTGTTTGGCATTTCTTGGTGATGTTCTAAGGCTGCAAAGGGAGTTAGCATCCGAGCTTGCTCAGTTCTTGTAAATGCTTTCAGATGTTTTCATTTCTACAGTCCGGGTTTAATTCCTCCTAACTCTTTAAGTAGTCTTAATGCCTTTATTTATGAAGCCTTATCTGAGCCTTTTTTGGTGTATTATTAGTCTTAACTAATAATAAAAAATCATTTCCAAAGTCCCACTCTGCTAAAATTCAAATTTAGGTTGGTATGAGATACTGATATGGAAAAGATCTAAGAAGTGATTTACGTTAGTAGCAACTATTGATTTGAAAATGTGATTGATCTGCTTTATTTAGGAAAGTTCAGAGAGTCCTCAGCTTTGACCTTTAGTTTTCTCAGGGCACAGGCTTGTCTCTAAATTCCTGCTTTCTGTCTCTGAACTGAGTGTTGTCCAGAAATTGCTGAAGACTGGGTTAAATTCAGCATAAAGTAAATAATTATATTAGTTAAATGTTAAATTTAAACTGACAAGGTTAGAAATAGTAGAATACATATAGTTGAAATAATATTTAATGCATATAATTTACACTGCTCTGGCATTTTCTGTTGATTTTAATGAGGTGTGGGTGTGATGTCATGCAAATGATGTAACTCCTTTGGAGTGATGAAACTCTAGCCAATTTACATTGATAATTATTCTAATTGTCTTAGAAAGCAGCAGTCACATTATAGGGGTGATTTTAATCTTACTTGCTTTAGGATTTACTTTTCCTGATCTTTTTCCAGCTTAGTAGAAAAATCCCATGCATTTTGCAGAGGTGCCCCAGCTGTCTCTAGAGTTTACCTCTGCCACATTGTCCTAGAGCACAGCACTCCTCACAAGCACTGATGGCTTCTGTTTGCTTCCAGAGTTATAAAGAAAACTCTGCAGTTGAAAAATCTGTACCTTTTTCTCTTATTTTTATGGGAATCCTGTTAACTTCAGTGAGAGTTTTGCCTTGATATGTGAAATGTGACTAAAACCTCTTGAAAGACATCACTGAAACTGTTCAAATACCACAAGCAAAAGCCTAAATCGCTACTGCTGCTACCATTAGGGAAGTTTAGGCTGTTCTAAGATTACTAGCTTTTATTTTTGTAATTGATTGTGGAAACCAATTGCTTTGAACTTTATTCTTTACAAGTGGCAGATTTAACCTCTGTCTTTTCATTCACACCATCTTCTTAGATCTTGGGTTTAGACTCTCTTCAGTAGTGGAGGGGAAAGAGAACACTAAATTCAAGTTCTCGAGGGGCTGTGTGTTTAATTATTGTGTGATCATTCAGGGTATTACAAAGAAAAGAGATTCCATTGTTAAAGCAAAGCATGTGCATGCTGAAAAGTCAAGAGTATAACAACCTGCACGTCTCTGCACATCACACCCTTCAACAGATGATGTCAGTGTAATAATATTGTCATAGCTGATTAATAGTTAATGGAGAGATATTTTAAATGTAAAAATGTTTTTGTAAAAAGGTGATTTTCACTTTTTGAATGCATAATGCAGCTTCCCAGTTCCCTCCCTTAAAATGTTGATGTGTGTAACTAAAGGCTGTGGCTGTAATATAGCATGTGCATATGCATGTCTCTGTTCCTTGAGCATGGGACGGTCAATGATCTATCAAGTATTTTGAATGATGTGCGACTGTCTCTCTTTTACTGTCAGTCTTCAGTCAGGGCATCCCACCAAACAAAAGGCTGAAAACATAGTGGAATCCCCTGGAGGCAGCACATCACCTTTGATAATCTCTGGAAGATTGTCAGATAGCTGCCAGCTTTACTTGATTATCTTTTTTCCTCCATGCCAGGTTGAGGGTTGGGTTTAACAGGCATGCTGTTCTTCCCTTGCCAACCAGAGAAGCTGTTGTTCAGTCACATGAAAAAATTCAGTGAAAGACTTAATATTAGCTGATAAATTCATGATGTAATGGTTTTAAACTGAAAAGGAAAATTGTTCCAGTCAAACAGGATTATGTTTTTCAGAATTTCTTTTGGGGTGGGGAGATATATCCATTTCCAGCTTTTGGGCTCAGTTCAAAATGAAACCTCTGTGAAATATCCATTATTTCCCAAAGGACAGAATTCTCAGTTTTGCCCCGTTTGGTGAGCGTATGGAATCTATACTGCTGGCATCCTTCTGCTGCTGGCAGGACAGGAGCAGCAGACTGGAAATTCATCTGATCTCCCGTAGGTTAGAGAAGAGCAGCTACTTCAGTGACTGACAGCTGAGGTTTAGCTTGCTCAGTGGAACTCCAGGCAATACTCAGTCCTAACTCTAGGACTAGAACAATGTACAAGTAGATGCTGTAAGGAAGCCAGGTGCTCTTTAGGTGAATTCTGACATTAAACTGACTCGTTGCAATGGCAGCTTCAGTTAACTTGCTCATGGCTCAATTTCTCAAATAAAAATCCTTCCGCATAAATGGAGCTACTGGAGAATGTGGAGGCTGCTCTTCCAACTGCAGTGGTCCCGTTGATTGCAGTTGTCCTGTTGATCTGAGACTGAGCATTTATCATGCTATAGCAACACCCTATGGATGGCTGTACAGAGATTTGGGAAAGATTAATTTAGTCTGTGAGAAAAGCTTTGAAGATTAAAAGGCACAAGTACTAAATTTCACTGTGATTAATCATCCAAACAGAAAGTACTGGAACCTTCTAAATAACAGAGGACCTGACATCTGTTCACCCCATTGCACTTTCTAGCCCTTTTTAAGACCCTTCTGAAAGAATGAATGGATGCAGTGAATAAACTGGGAATTCTCTGCAGTATGTATGTACGTCCACGGGCATGCATATGTACATGTGTGTGTGTATATGTTTGTATACACTTGTATGTATATATGCATGTACGAATGGAATTTTGATATATGGAAGTGTAACATAAATACTTCCGGATTTGTCATGATTTTTTTGACACAATGACAAGTGTTTCACCTTTTTTTCTCTTTATACATCTGTAAGCCCACACAAAAATGACATCCCTTAACGCAGTCAGCTTTTAACTATTACTTGTGACTTGTGTCATCTCTTATCCTCTGATCAGAAGCTTTTGTGGTGAGATGCCATGAACAGACACGCACACTCCCCTGTTGGTGCTTTTTCTCTCACTTAACTGTCACGCCTTTCTCCTTTCTTCCCCTCCCTTCCCTGTCGAACCTCACTCTTGTGTAACCCAGCACGGACTTCACGGAGCGTTTCAACCCCAGTGTCCTGAAGGACTCTGCCCTGTCTACACACAAACCCATTGAGGTGAAAGGCCTGGGCGGCAAGGCTACTATCATTCACGCCCAGTATAACACCCCGATCAGCATGTATTCCCAAGATGCTATCATGGATGCAATTGCAGGCCAGGCACAAGCCCAGGGTGGAGAATTTGCTAGGTAAGGTCATTTCCTTGTGTGGAATGCTCTTTCTCGGCATGGTACATGGAATGGTCCCTACATGCATGACATGGCAGCTCTTCCTGGACTTTTTTTTTTTTTTTTCTGGAGTGTCTTACACGTGGAAAATACAAATCAATCCTAGATAGTTTTTGAAAGCACTTCTTCGTTTTGAAATTAGAAGGATGGATAGTTAGAAAATGTAGCATTTCTGCTTTGATATTCTTCCTAGAACTGGTAAACCCTGTGAAAATATATCTAGTGCTCTGTATATGACATTGGATGGCTTTTCATTTGTGATGACCGTATTTTGTAATAACCACTGGATTGTATGCATAACTCAGACTGGAAAGGGGGCGACAGAATTTTTATTGGTATGTGAAGAATACAAATTTATTTAGTACTGGCTACTGTTCTATTCTTCAAAATGGAGTGTTGTGTATTATCCCTATCCCCAGTTTACATACTGTATATGTCTCTTATGCATATCCTTTGGACTATGCAAACATCCATTGATCTTTAATAATTTTGCTTTTCCAGTGCATGTTTCTGGTAATGTTATCTGATGAACTTATCCACAATTGTTATGACTTAACTGAAATTACATGTGTGCTGAATGTAGCCAGGTTTCTCTCTTATTGGGTATCTTTCTACCCAAAATAGAACTTACCTTCTTTTCATGTGACACCAAAATATAGGTATAGCAACAGACTTTAACATAGTTTCTTTTCACTGTGTCGGCTGCAGGCTTATTCAAAATGCAGATGTTTTATGTCTTTGCTTGTGCTCCCTTTTACTGGCCATTTCTTTTCTCTTTGTTTTTTTAATTCTTTTTTCTTTCCCCAACTAATTTTTTGCACCAATGTTATTCTGTTGTTCATCACAACTCTCCCTAATGATGGATCCCAAACAGTAACTTTAGTTGGTTTTGACCATGCAGTGAATATCCACAGGTGTAAGTAGACTAATATTGCCAATTAGCAAAGTACAAGGAAAGAAGTTCATTCTATGTGTTCTTTATAATAGTTCACATCTTTCATAGCATGGATTATATGAGACATTTTATGATATATTGGCATTTTTTACTAAATGCTGTAACATTATATAATGCAAATAGTAATATTTAAAAATTTTACCCATTTAAATGATCAGATGATTATAAAATTTCACTGCTGAGCATGTGGATCCTTTTCATTTTATAAACAGCACATTAAAAGAATCTCTCAAATGCAGTTCCAGGCACAAAGTGGCTCTGCTGGACTGGAAAACTACATCATCATCTTTTCCCACCTGTGGAAGAGATCAAAACATATTGTGTTGCGGGGAGAGGAAAATGCCTTTGGTAGAAAATCCCAGATAGCGTGAGAGAAGTCCAAAGACTGCAACTGGAACTGGAAGATGAGCACACTTTCCAGGGGCGTTAGGGATTTGCCATAGAATGTAGAATTGTAAAGTAGTAAAGTAGTAAAGAATCTGAATAATTAGAGAGGCTTGAGTCATAAATCATAAGGTGATAAGGGATTATATTAGTATATGCATATATATTGAAAAGACCAGAATGAGCAGATACATAGATAAGAAATTTTAAAATATATTTTCATGGGCTGTTCAGTCATTGCACCAGTAGCAGCAAGAGCTGTGTTAAACGCCACTAGCAAAAGCTCTGTTCCAACTTTTTTTCTTCATTTTGAACATGGAATCTGCCTATCGCATGGGTGTTTTTGAAATGAGTTGATTATTTCCATTAATCCTTTTGTATCAGACAATTCCAGTGGAACGTTATTCTCTGCAGACAACTCAATGACTGTCTTCTACCCTGTAATGTTGCAAAAAAAGCTTTTCTGAAAGATCCACTATATAATTTACCGTTCAAGCTTTTCCTTCATTTTGGAATGTGACTCCTAAGCCTAACATTCACTTGGCCCCAGAAGAAGCTAAAGTTTCTGTTCCTAGGTGCAGTCAGGTGCAGGGGGCTCTAAATCTACTGTGCTGTGAGCTATAACCTCTTTTGTAGCTTCTTTTTTTTAAAAACTCACAACGCTTAGTGACTAAACAATTTTCTGAGTAGATTGTTTTATTACAGTTAACACATCATTTTTAATCTAGCTATAAAGGCAAGGTTTATGTTGATATAACAATGGCCTACCCATTGACCGATAGTCATTCGATTGAACCTGTAACTCATTTCCTTAAGGTGTTGCTTTGACCTCTGTGATATTCTGAACTTTAATTTGCAATGGAAACTGAGGATGTTCTTTAGTTTGCTTAGTTGATCAAGTCTGAGATAAGATTATGCTTAATGCAGAAGTATTTGTATGAGAAGTTTGTCATACAAAAGCAGACCAAATTCTGTACTGATTCCTTTTGTCTCAATTCTCTGCCTATAATTTGGTCTCAGAACTTAATTACTCTTCTTTGGGCTTTTCGTTTGACATTAGAGATAAGCCTTGAAGCCACAAGGTGTATGTGAGATGGTAGGCGTACTCAGACTGCAGACCTAAAAGGCTTCTGTTCTTTTTGGCAGACAATAGCTGGAAACACCACTTCCTCCTTTTATCAGTGATGAATAGACAGGCTTAAGATAACAATTCATTTTCTAGTTTGACCATTTGAAATCAGTAGTGTTTTAATTTAAGTCAGTGAGATCAGAATCAGGCTCATGTCAGTTAGAAAATAACCCACACCTACTGGATCACCATGGAAAACACAAAGGAAAGCATATAAATTATTTATACTGCATTTATTCAGAGCTCATGCTGGAACTTAAAGGTAGAAAAATGTGAATGCCCTGACTTTATATCTTTTCTCACTCTATGTTGCTTTATTTTAATTGATTTTACTATACCAAGAACCAAGAGTTGGTTGCAGTAAAACCATGTGGTCCGTACATTTCAAGTACATTTCTGTCAAACCTGTTCTAAATTCCATCGTGCCGTTTTAGCCAATTTCACAAGTCATGTAAGTAGACATAAATCCAACAACTTTACCAGGATTAAGATCTAACAGTTCTAGGAGTAGAATCAATAATGTGATTGTACAAACTAAAGTCTCATGTATCCTCTACAATAAGTGAACTTGGCTGGATAATTTACCAGTCTACATGAACTATTTGATTGTTAGGTCAGTTTTCCTTTTTTTTTTTTTTTTACCTCTTAGACCTTTTTTTAATAGTTGCAATCAGTCTAATATCTGAAGTCACAATATTTCGTTGTGTGTCTACATCAGGGGTAGAAAACTGCAGTGCTCCTAAGTTTTTACTTATTATCTACTTAAATTAAATCTGAATAATGACTCCAGGGAGTGATTCACATGGTAAGCCATGGTTTATAATGAACTCCAAGAAAAAAAAAATCACATTGCTACTTATTCAAGGAGGTTTGACTGTCTTTAAAGCTTGTTGTAATGTTAATGTGTGACTTGTATGATGATGTGAAAAAGGGGGACAATTTTTTATTGAATCCTACTAAAATATCTTAGGCTGTAATATAAAAAACCCTCAAAAGCTGTAACCTACTTGGGAAGAATGTCTTTTTCAGTAACATCAATTTAAAGTAATATGCTTAAAGATGCATGATATTTCTGCACATACACACCCAGATGGAAAAAAAATTAAATTAAGAAGAGATATAACAGAGGTATTAACATGGTTATGTGCATCTTTAGGCTGTCTGTAAGAATCAACTGTCACATTTAGGTTTATGAAATGCTCATAATCAGCAATGCACTCTATTTTACACTTCCATGCCGAGTGGCTCGTATGTCCTAGTTACTCATGTAGAATATAATCAGATTTTTAAAAAAAGAAAAAGGCCCATTGCATTAAAAACAAGAGTTGGAAATACTCCAATGTACTGCATTAATTTAGTTTCATTTATATGAGCGTATTTCACTCTGCTAGGGAAGGTTAATTCACCAAGCTCCATTTCCTGCCTTAATCGTCTACCATAAGGATATTAATGCGTCATATTAATGCCACACATTGCTACTGTGAAATTTGTGGTCCAGCCTTTAGCATTTGTTTAACTACCTTTGAGCTAATGACATACACTTTTAAACTGCTTTTTTGTATATTGGCTATAAGAACACAGCATTTCAGCTAGAGGATTTAAACAAAGGAATTTGAACTGTTCATGGCTTGCACAGCGCTCTTGCCACAGCAGTCCATGCCTGAAATCAGCAGCACTATCTACCCCCTGGTTTGTTATCCACTCTACAACAATCTGCAGCTGTGAAATTTGCTGTCACATACAGCAGTTTTTTAAGTTTTTTTGATTAAAAACAAAGTCAGGGGATATAAAGTTAACTGTTGGCCAAAATCAGGCAGTCACCTATGACAGCATTACAGGGCAAGGTACTGTGTGCTTAGTCGGTACCAGCACATGGGCCTGAAATGCCTCTGGGAACTTGAAAACCGGGTCGCCTTTCGGAGAACTTTAAATGGACCTTTTCCAATGACAGAACTTCTCAGCGTAGCTGAGGGTGAGAAGTGGCAGCAGAACGGTCATGAGGGGGTTAGTGACTGACTTTTGCTATTACACAGGATCTGTTTTCTATATAACGACTATTTCTGCATGAAGTCAGTAGAAGGCCGAACTCGCTACTGCACTTACACCCCTGCCTCAGCAAGGCCTTCAGCCAAGAGGAAGACTACTACACTCCCTCCCATCTTCCCTCTGAAGAAGGATATGGCACTAATTTGTTCTCTGGTGCACACAGGAGCAACACTAGTGGCAGCTACTGATGGCGCACCCTTCCCAAAGCAAGTCCACATTATATCTACCATACCTGCGAGTGTTTAGATATTGTAAAGACAGTGGTCTAGGAAACATGAGCTAAAAAAGGAGCTGGAAGATGCTGCGCTCACCTTCAGGAGACCTTCCATGCTGAGAGACTTTTTTTACGTAACTTTTGTGGCAGATCTTAAACTGAAGAGTCAGGTTTTTTTCTAAGCTATGCTCCATCACGTAGATGATTGTGCTGAAACTTATAAAAGAAAAGTAACTGGGTTTTGTACCCTGCTGTCTCCTCAAGAAAGCGAGACATTTGCATAAGCTGGAAGTTATGGGGAATACAAATACTACTCTAATAAAAAAAAAATCCTAAAGAGATGTGGTGCTTTTGGGTCCATAGCATATATAAACACACATCATGTTTCTGACCCCCTTGCAGTCTTACTTGAAGAACACATCCCATGCTATTGGTAGGTGCAAATCCATTAAAAGAGCATATATTATGCAGACCTGAAGAAGAGGAATGTGTCAGCTGGTAAATACTGATATATAACGCAGTACCTGGTAATTTTTTATTACACCGTATGTTATTGCTGTACGTAGGCTATCAGACACGCTTCTTGGCTTTTTCATGATTCCTTTCAGGCTTTCAAATCACAAGCCTCACTTCTCTGCAGAACTTCTCTGCACAATAGTATCTTAGAGAACGCTGACTTTGAGCCTGAACCAAGGAAGCAACTTTGATAGCAGGTGGCTGCTCCCAGAACTTTATAGCAGTGACTTAGTTGGACCAAATGGCCCTTAACTTTTAACAGAACCATTTCTCAATTTTCATGAAGCTGAGCATGCTGCTTGCAAAGCTCTATATGGAATAGCATGTTAAAGCTGTTACAATAAATCACTTGCTTCAAAAATAGACCTTGTATTTAGAGAAGTCATGGAGCCAAGTTACTCCAAGCACACATCATCCCCTCAGTGTATATTTCTGCAGCTCTGTTAATATTTAATTTTAACTGTATGCTATGCAGAAGTTATTTTTGCAGGAAAAAAAAAGCTATTAAGTTACTAAGTCTGTTTCTAGCTTGCATCATAAATCAAAGAAAGGTTACCTCTCGTGCTACAGAGCTTTGTAGCTTTGGCTTTAGGTGTGCAAAATTGGAAGTTTCTTCCTGGATATATCACTTTGCAATGTTATTAGAGAGGTCGCAAGACTGAGATATGTTCTGTTAAAGATTTCAGATATAAAACATGTATGCAAGTTTTGAGTACAAGTCTAAACTTCTTATGCTTCACACGTTTAGAAGACAATGAATCCAGAGTTATGGCAGCTGGAAGTTTAATTCAGAGTTTGGCAAAGAATCATCTCTAGAAAAAGCTATAAAAGCCTGTCATGTTATTTTTATAATGAAATATGGTTTTTATTTCTAATTGCAACGTTAAAACACAATTACAAAAAGGTAATAAGACATAACATAAAACAGTATCAACATGAAGCTGTTTTTGTAAGAAATAATATGGGACAAGAACGCTCAGAGAAATTGATGTTTTTGCCTGGCATACTCTCCTTTATCACGACATACTATTCCAGCCATTGTAAGCTTGTGGCTGCATTGGCTGAGGAATCATGAACGGACATTTCCAAGCATTTTCACACTGGTTTGAATATGCAGATTTGAATGATAACAGGCCATTTAAAAGACAGAATGAGCCATAACATTCTTAAATCACATAAAATTGATCTCTGTACTTTTTAAAAAAAGTTATATTTTCAAAGCTGTGTTTTGGATTGCTGTTATTCTGGATGAGAAGCTGTAAGACCAGAGAGAGGTTGGGATGAAACCTACCATGTGCTGTTTCATAACGTTTCACTTTCTGAATTGCAGTACCCTTCCTATTAAAGATCCTCACGTAGACAGTGCCTCTCCAGTGTATCAGGCTGTGCTTAAAACTCAGAACAAGCCTGAAGATGAAACCGAAGACTGGAGTCGCCGTTCTGCCAATCTGCAGTCTCGATCTTTCCGCATCCTTGCCCAGATGACTGGAACAGAGTACAGTAAGTCGAATAAAAAAACACCCCCCTCATCCTGATTTTAGATTCATCTCTTTATTTTGTTACCCCAGTATTAGCAACCAATACTCAAGGAAGACTCATGTCCAGCTTGTAGTCATTGTCAGTGAGGGCTGAGATCGGAGAACCCTGGGTGTAACTTGAGGGAACTAGGAAATCAAAACATTCAATCTCACCTTACGCTTTATGAAGGAAATTCTTTGATCTGCCAGGGGTCTCACCATAAAAGTATAACAGATTATACAGTAAAAGAGCATTTTGGACCCCACAGTTTTTCTTACTTACAAATCAAATCTCTGCAGTGTTATTTTTCATTTTCCAGCAGCCTAGACATAAAAAGCTGTCCATTCATGAGAAAAAAGATAAACAACTTATGTCTCTTGTAGCACTCTTTCATAGAAGTGACTTCCAGAGGTTAAAATGACCATTTGTATTGAACCTATGGTTCTACCACCAGCCCTGTTATCTAAACCTAGATCTGCTATGAATGTCATTGGAGCTTGAACTCTGTTGCTTGTTGCCTATGGAAATGTTTTTCTGGCCACTCGGTACTAACCTCAGAGCTTGTTTCTGATCTAGAGAGACAGAAGTTCAGGGACCTTTGCTACATCAGGGGGAAATACTAAATATTTCCTCCTTATATGAGTCTGCTGCTGCCTCTCGTGCTTTCCTACAAAACAGCAGGCCCTCTCTGTAGAATCATTGCCTACAGCTGTGAATTGTTGCTAATAAAGGAAGGAGAAAGGAGTTGCAATAGCTACTTTCCTACTAACATCCCACTTCCTGGCTTTAGGGAATGGTGCCTCTTCATCGTGTTCTTACAAAATCCACTGCTGCAAAGTTAGTGTGAGTGTACCTTTAGGTAGGCCTTTGGTACATTTCTGAGGAACTTCTAATTTCATCTTAAAGCTAATTTCTTCCTTCCTTTGTTTTTTAACTGAAACATTTTTTTGTCTGCAGTGCAAGATCCAGATGAAGAAGCCCTGAGGAGGTCAAGGTAGGCAACTCCCTGTGAAAAATATGGCTTTCTCCTTACTGATAACCAAATACTGTTTTAAAACAGTATTAATATGAACTTACATTATCTTTTTGTCTTAAAATATTCTAATACACTTGCTTAAAAATCACTAAAATTAAAATGCTATCAGTGAGAGGCATTTGAATGAAAAGGATAACAAATTAGCATGTTTTTAGGAAAGATAGTGCAAAATTCCTGAAGTGCGTGTTCAAATCTGAAAGCTCTCCGCACATGCAACTTCCATGTACTTTACTGGGTATGTGAATGCAATGAGTTCCTAAGATCAAGCCCTGTGTAACTACTTGATTGTGTAACTGGATGAAAATATATGATGTTGTGATAGCACTGAAATTTGTGAGCAATTTATTTGGATGACCCTGTGATTGACACTTGATTCTCCTGAAATGATACAGTAAAGGAGTTGTTTCCATCCATATCCATAATCATTTGCTTATGTTTTGTTTGGAATAAATACAACCCATATTTGTAGAATATGGAAGCACAGGACTGCTTTTGCTAGTGGCTAAATGTATTTGTTTCATATGAACTACCAAAACCACTGAAAAAGTGGGTATGTTCAGAGATAGAATAAGGAATTAAAGATTTATCATCACCTTATGTTGTCCTGCATAGCCAGGAAATAGATTTATTAGAGATGCTTATGTTAAGCTTAAAAACTGTAGTTGAATTGGAGAATCCTGCATGCAAGCCTGATTTTCTGTTTGCATACTTCAAATCCCTGTATCGTGTTAGCTCCTCTAAGCCGCTGGCTGGGTTTGTGATGTGTTTGATACTCGATCCACTTTCTCTTCTTTTTCTATTTTTTTGTTTTGTTTACTGCCATGTGGCTTCTATAAAGGTTCTGAGCTTTTGGTCACAGTGCAAGTTACAAATGTTAAATCGGTGAGAAAGATGTCTGTCATTTTCCCTATGAAAATACAAGTATACTCTCAGTTTGTGTTTGCTATAAACCTTCCGTTGCAGTTCACCGAAGTTCGTGGCTAGGTGCATGAACATCAGGCTTGACATTACATACCTCAAGGATTTATTTCTTCCCTCAAATGCGCAAGCCTAATTCTTATTAAATGTCCTGTGCGTTATCTGTTTTGATGTAATAGCACGCATCCAAACCCTTATTATGATGGGATTTAAAGCATTGTGCTGAACTTAAAAGTCCCCCATACACATCTGAGAGTAATATGTTGTTTTAAAGAAATAATCTTTCTAGCTGTAGTCTGTGGCTCTGGAAAATACTAGATATTGGAAACTTAGCATGGTATCAGAGATGTTGAAAATCATTATCTAGGAACACATCAACATGTGTAAATTGCACGTTCTGTTCAGTGTAACTTAAAGTACCTGACTATATCCACTGTGCTTTGAACACTTTCTGCAGTTTTGGGGTATCACTGTGTTTATCCTTTTTTTCACAAGGACAGTTAGGGTTATGAGTATATTTAGGCACAGCTCTATTACCTAAAGAGCATTCACCGGTAGCAGAGGCAGAAGGGAATATATACTAGGTAGTTATACAGGTACAGTGCAATTGGCGTGAGCCCTGGTGCAAGAAACGAAATGGGGTCTCCCTCCTACCTAACTGATAGTGCTTGCCCCGTCTTGGTGGCTTGGTACCTACCTCAAATGTTACACATACTCCCCTGCAGATTTGGTAGCAACAGCCCTGGCTATCACAGAATGGTTTGGGTTGGAAGGGACCTTAAAGATCATCTCGTTCCAACCCCCTGCCATGGGCAGGGACACCTTCCACCAGACCAGGTTGCTCAAAGCCCCATCCAGCCTGACCTTGAACACTCCCAGGAATGGGGCATCTACAGCTTCTCTGGGCAACCTGTGCCACTGCCTCACCACCCTCACAGGGAAGAATGTTCCTCTCAGTTAATGTTAATGAGCACATTGCATGACTGTCCTTTGCTTATGCTACTGCTGTTTTGAAGGCACGCATAAGATTATAACTTGCTATGAAAGCTTTCCATTGCTGTTGTGATGATTGTTATGGAATAGTTTCCAGAAAGATGGTAGCCGTTTAAAGCCAAACAGATGTTCCTGATGTATACCTTTTCCTTGAATGGAGGGGTACATCTTTAAAGCAGTAAGGGAATTCTTAAATTTCATGTAAGACCCACTGTAGCTAGTATGCTCCAATGTAGCTTTAAAAAATGCCATCATGAAGTTTCAGCATTTCAGCTAGAAATACTTGGTATCTTTTAATTACTTAAAAGTATAAAAGATAGTTTGAGAAGTCATACATCAAGACTGCTTTAGAAGTGTTACTTGCATGACACTGTGTTATTAGGAACAGAAAATTTAGAAATATAAATTAATTTGTTGGTACTTCCTCTGTTCATTGTTTTGTGCTTTCTTCAGCCTGAGGAGTAAAATTAGCCCAGCCTGTTCATTTCTGTTTGGCTCTTTCACTCTTGAGTTCTCTGTGTTAACACAGTTGTCTTGCATTTTGGGTGTAAATAATGAAGGGAAAAATTACCTTGTTTGCAATTAATCAAATACGTTTTGCAAATAACAAGAACATTATATTTTCCATTCTGTTTGATATACTTCTCCTTGACTGTGCTCCCATCCCACATCTTCCTCCTTCCCATTTTTATTTGCAAAACCTGAATTTAAACTATAGAACATCTAGAAAAGACTAAATCTTGAGGGGTGCTGAACATTGCTTACAACTTTCTCAAGCGCCCCAGTCTACAGTCAAAGGTAGCTAGGGGTGTTTGCAGGAGGTGACCAATACTTCACAGGACTGTGCTCCAAAAATCCCATGTTATTCTGCTTTTTGACACAAATGACCAGAGGTATTTATGCAAATGTCAACACTCATACTTGCTTATGTTGAGAAAAGCTATAGAAAAGTACTGCTGAAACCTGTGGCTGATGGTCCTGTAAGGAAGGACAGCAGGACATATATAGGCTGACCTAGGTATTACAGAATGGAAAATATTAGTATTAATTTTGCTCTTGTACAGAGTTAACTTTCACTGACTGCTCAGTTGCGGGGGAGGCAGGGAAAAACCGAGAGAATCTGCTGGCAGGAAAACAATGGGATTACACTGCATTTCTAGCAAAAGCAGCCCTGTAATATCAAGCACAAGTCAAAGAATATGAAGTTATATCAAGTTACTTCTCAGAAATTAACAACTGCAAAACCTGTCATACATGGTCCAAAAAGGATCACCCAGCATTCTTTGTGCTGATTGGAAAGCTGAGGAAAAAATCCAAATAAATTGCCACTGCCCTAGTTATAAGGCAGGGGAGTGGTCGCCATGGTCCCTAACCCCTTTCTTCTCCCTCCTTTCTTTCTTCTCTCTGTGTGTGTGTCTCTCTCTCTCTGTCTCTGTCTCTCTTTCTTCATGCCACAGGGAAAGGTTTGAAACGGAACGTAACAGCCCACGCTTTGCCAAATTGCGCAACTGGCATCACGGCCTATCAGCGCAAATCCTTAATGTTAAAAGTTAAAAGCCCACATTTAGCAGGCAAATACATGAGACAGAGAATTACAGTAAAAAATTTACTTCTGTCCTGAGTTAGAGCCTAAGAGTGTCACACACAGAGGAAAGACTTACTGCTAGGGCCTTTCTCTAGCGTGCTCTCTTCCGTAGATTTCCTTTGTTAGCCTGTTATCCATTCACTGTCACCAAAAGTAAAAATAATGACGCGACCCAGTTCACGTTCTTCATTATAAAGTAGATTAGTTTTTGTCCTTTACTGTATCAAATGTAACTTCAGTATACAGGAAAACATCACTATTGTACTCTCTTGACTTTAATTCTTGAAGAAAATGAGAGGGAAGTTACTGACAGTATTTCTTTAGGAGGAAAAGGAGTGAGACTTTTACTGAGTTTTACTGCCGTAAAGATAATTAAGTAGGAGAAAGAAGGATGAAAAGGAAAACTGGCTGAGCCTGGTCTAGACTTCGCTAAATGTACAACATAGTTTGCATAGTTGAATGATGCTGTTTGAAATAAGATATTAGCAATGTGAAGTTGTCTTTCTTCAATATATTATACTGATAGAAGTCATTTGCTGAAACCATTGCTGTAAGTTTTCTGTTGGAAACCTGAATTTGTCATTATATGAAAGCTAGAGATAGCCATGGTTGCTCTGGATCTGTGAGGAAAAGACAGTTTGCTGGAGGTGGTTTAGGAGTGAGAAGAATATATAATACTACTGGTGCACTGAAGTTTTTAAAAGCATCTTCTAAGTTTTAAGGAACATGTTGCCCATTCTGTATTGCTCTTGCTTTGACCCACATCTTTTTCTGTATATAGCAGCATGCTTTATCTGAAATAAAAGGTTTTAAAACTAAAATAATTACGTGCCTGTTTTACACAGTACTTCATTCTGTTTTAAAACAATAACTGCTTCAACTGATTATTGAAAGAAGGAGAACTTTTCTTTCCCCTGTAGAAAATGTGGTCAAAAAGCTTTCCCCTATTACGTATAATTCTTACTGACCTTTAAGTTATCTGAATTAAAATAAACGTGACAAAGCAGGTGAAAGAACAACAGAGATGAACAAATATTGTATTAGGTGTGACTGAAAACCATAATTAATAGATGTTAGATGACAACCTATTGATAATATCGTTTAGCATTTCCATTTGAATAATGTGCATTCTCTGGCAATAATTATTTGTTTGTGTCCATGGTGAAGGCACTTGAGACGTTGCTGGTGCTTAGAATGGGATCTTTTTGTTTCAACATGACAACAATGTTTTGCTTTTAAGCTGTGTCAGGCAAACCTGTACCAAAGGTGCCCAAATGTTTCTGTTTTCTGTTTGAAGTACACAAGAGCAATAGTCTGATCTAGTTTATGCTCTGATCATTAAATGAAACAAAAAATACAATGAAATTAAACTGTTTGTGGTTTCCATAGAAACAGTTGATGTTAGCCCTCAACAATCTCCATCAGGAATCCTTAGCACTGACTGAAGCAAAAGGTTCTGGTG